TAGATAGAGGCTTTTCAGCAGGGTAACCCTCTTTGATCACGGTTGGTTTGTGCGAGTTCATTACAAAGAAGGGCGTCCTCATCAATATTATCCAAAAAAACTGAATCATACGAATTCTCCACTAATGATATTCTCCAAAGAACAAAGCAGATGGCTTGGTTTCAAAACCAATATTAATGTATTCTTTCGACATCTTAAGATCGAAAAATAATGATCGGCCCAACTAAATTTGAAAAAAAAAATCAAAGAAACTAATCAAGAAACAAATTAGAGTGAAATCACAGTGAATTGATCAAGTATAACCAATCTTTGAATTTAAATTATTCAAGAAACGAGAATTTTCACAAATCGAATAAGATCTTGAAGTTTGTCAAGACAAATTCTTCCAAATTACAGTCATATGCTCTGATACCAAGTGATGATCCCAAAAGGGATCTTCAACAATCACAAGAATATATTCGATCACATAAATAAGAGCAATGAAGATTAGATCACAAATGTTGGCAGGTAACTTGATCGAGTACAAAGAGAGAATCTTAGATAAAGAACTATTACAAACTGAATAAATGATAATGTGTAAAAGATTACATCAAAAGAGCACTCTAATAAACTCTCAACTACCACTATTATACAAGACATGAAACACAGAGTTACATATCAAATATAAAAATGACTAATCACAACATGACACATGTTCTAGTATCCTCATGTCTTGAACATTCAAGAGTTAACGAACATAGAGTTGACCATGCTAAGTCCCAAACTCTGATTAAGTCATAATCAAAGTTTCTATCCGAACTTTGGGTCCATTTATCCAGATCTCTAAAGTCTTCCATACTTGTAAATCTGTCAAACTTTAAGTATAGTCGAACTCTGAACCTTCATGACCATACTTTAACACTTAGTAGCTTCAGTGACTTCAAAACTCTGATCATTCTTCTCCAGATCTCTGACTTTCTGGTCAGAGATATACACTTGGGTAAAATAACATTGAACCAACCTATTTAATCTCTATAAGAAGCCACATCTACTATTAACTACATTTCTTTGGTGGACACTATTGAAACAGGGAGTGATCCCATCCCAACTCTTGCATACACCCACCTACCCACTCTCCCATCTCTCAACAGATTGGAGTTTCAAGTGCACTCATGGGGTAAACAATACATGTTCTATCCTCTTTTCATTTAGAGATGATGGATATTGAAAATGAGGAATATATTTCCCCTCCTCACAATCTATTCAAGAACACATTGAGTCTGAGATTCCATCTCATTTTGAGCCAAATCAAGCACAGCATGCTTCTTTCATTCACACAAGCACGAGCCTTTATGGCTTCCAATCGTAGTTTGTGAGTCAAGCTGTAAAAACGTCTATAGATGCTCCTTTGAGTACTCAAGGATTAGATGGAACTCCCACTGGGGTGAACATCACAAAACCTCAAATGTAAGTACATGTGTTGTACAAAATGAATTTGTGTCATCAATAGGCCAATTTGCACATGCACAATTGCCAACTATGTCATTTTTGATATAGGGTTACCATCATCTTTTGTCACTAAGGCTAAATTTTAGTCCTTCAGTACTTCTTGCAGTGGTGAATTTGAAAGATTCATTCCAAGCTAAATAAATTACAGCTAGTTCGTCTTCTCAACCAAAGTCACTAGATAAGAAAATTGAAAGCTTTGATGAATCAGTTCTACTTGTGTAAGGAGAGAAAGAAAACATGAACAAAACAGAAAAGGTGAAGAGAGACTACTTGCATGCATTTATGCCCAAATCTAAGGTGACAGTCTCCAAGTCAAACTTCTTGAGCTTCCAGAAAACAATACTTCATTCATTTGAGACTCTATCATCTAATTTGTTCAAGTTCCTTAAGCAACTATGTTTCCTATAGTTCCTTCCTCTACAGATTAGTCTACTCAAAACCCAATCCCTACGATGCCCAAAGCTTACTTCTACAAGCGTAAGAAGGGATCTCCACCCTTGGATACACATTAGAATGAGATGCACCGGATCAATCCTCGTATCAAGCACGATTCATGGGTGGGATTAGATTAAATGTGATCAAGGGTCCAGATCCCTTTTTACACTTCACATCTTAACTCTCCTTCTCACACGATCATTTGCCTATATATATATATATATATATATATACACAAACGTTAAAAGGGATCTCCACCCTTGGATGCACATTAGGATGAGGCACCTAGATGCACCAGATCAAGCACGATTCATGGGTGGATTTGAGATTAAAGGTGATCAAGGATCCAGATCGCTTCTTATGCTTCACATTTTAACTCTCTTTCTCACACGATCATTCGCCTATGTGTGTGTGTGTATATATATATATATATATATATATATATATGCACGTTCAAATGAAAACCGTGTATTTCTAATAAACCGTGTAAACCAATTTCGACCAATAGGAAAATTCCTTTTTTTTAATTAAATTTAATCAATAAGGGTATTTCGGTCATTTACAATATTTTCTATTAAATATGAAAGTTATTAATAAATATTAATTAAGGAAACGTAATAAAGAAAATTGTATAAATGGTAAAATTTAAATATTTAATTATATTAAAATATTAAAAATTTAGATTTCATATATTGTCATGAGTTATAATCAGGATACGTGTCTTGATGAAACAATTGAATTATAGAATTAAATCATCAAAACGTAGATGAACAAAAGAAATCCACAAAATGAAACAGATTTCATGAACGTGAAACCGGTTCATGTTGCAAAGAAATTMGGTGAACCGAAACATTTTTATGGTGAACCTGTTGCATTGATGGTGTAGTTAATCCTTTTTTTTATGAGAAGCAAAATGAAACCAGTGCATTTTGAAAAAAATTATGAAAAGGAAAATGAAACAGGTTTCATGAACGTGAAACCGGTTCATGTTGCAAATAAATTAGGTGAACSAAAAYATTTTTATGGTGAAACCGTTGCATTGATGGTGTAGTTTATCCATTTTGTTGATGAAAAGGAAAATGAAACCAATGCATTTTGAAAATAAATTATGAAAAGGAAAATGAAATAAGTTTCATGAACGTGAAACCGGATCTTGTTGCAAATAAATTATATGAACCGAAACATTTTTATGGTGAAACCAATTTCGTTCATATAATGTAATTCAAAATTTAAAACGATTCATTCCATATAATTAAATATGGTGTGTTATATTCATTTTTTTTTATATGTTTTATTGATGGATGTGTTTTAAAGTTAAAAATAATATATTGCTTTAAAAAATGAAAATAGTGTCATTAATATCGAGAAGGATGTTACCAAACGTGAAATTTTGTTTACCATTTTTGCCCTTATTGTTGAAATAAAATAAAATTTTAATATATATATATATATATATATTTTAATTTCCTAAAATAAAGTAAACTAATCTTGGTCATTGATCAAAAAAATGAATGGATGAGATTGGTTTACACGGTTTACACAAATGGGACAGGTTTTTATTTGAACGCTCNTTTTTTTTTTTTTTTTTTTTTCTAACTACCTATGTGTATATTAATCCATTATCATTGATAGAAAATCTGTCATTATGAACAGTAATATACACATGGGTATCTCTCCCTCTACATGAACATGGGTTTACTTTTGAACAATGTGATTATATTCGGATATTTCAAGTGTGTTTGGATGTATATGTTCACGTGTGTTATGTGCACTATTTAGATGTTCACATGTGTTCACAAAAAGTTCACTTGGTTGTTCCATCTTTTCATATGTTAACAGACAATGACATTGTACACATATAGAAATATATTCACTTATGAACAATAAAATTTTGTTCAACTATTAACATATTGGAACTGAATGGGAATGGGGGAAGTTGAACATGTGAACATGATATCTACACTTCCCTTCATACTATTCATATCACCTCTACGAAATTATCATATGCTTCACAAAATTGTGAATGTGATTTGTTCACTCGCATTAATTATTTGATCAAGTATAATTTTATTTAACGATAAACATTGTGTAATTTGATGAATTGATCATAATCATTAAATTATAACAACCATTACTTAATACAAATGTAACTTACCTCTACGTACAATTTACCCCGTTAATGCATATCTTGATTTTTTTATTGACTTTTTTTGAAAGAGGTAAGATCCGGTGACGGTTTCTATGGGGCATAGGCCTCCCAAAAAGTAACGGAGGTGTGCAAAGGTTTTCTCATTCTATACATACACGGTTCTTCCTTGTAAAATCCCATCAATATGATAACCCATATGTACTTACAGAAAAAAAAACCAATGAAACAATACCGGACAAAAGATGTAACCGAATTAAATTCGAAGATGTTCAAGATGACGAGAACATGTAATTTGGCAGTTAATGGGACTTCATAAATAAACTGCAACATAATTTGGACCAGCCTTTTGACTGGTTTTATAACCAGTTACATGACCAATTCTATGCTACCAAGTTACCAACCACCAGACCTTACAAGGCCCAGGATTGTGGTACTAGGCCTTTTTGCCCACTTCTAGACATTAATTCATTCTCAAAATAAAAACATGATCATCAAAAAAAACAAGTCACCAGTCATATAACATTCTCAACCATCAAAATGAATTGATTTATCTTTTTTAAGTAACATTCTCAACAATCAAAATGAACTATTGATAACATCTCTTACCTGGTAAGCACCAATTGGGTAAGAGTCGTATTTCTCACTTACCAAGTAAAAATCACGGTCTTTCCTATGCCTTAAAGAGTATCTTCCTCACGTACCGAGTAAAAATCTCAATCTTTATTGTGGCTCTTAACAGATAAGATTCTCAGTCTTTACAATGCTCACCTTTTAAAGTAAGTGGCACTCGATAAGCGCTTACATGGTAAGAGTTTACAAACTCCCCTACATTGATTCCATATTGGTTTCCTAAAAATTAAAGATGTTGAAAGTTAATTCTTTAAAACAGGGAACAAATGCAAAATTAGTTGTATTTTGACTCAACTTGTCACTCAAACAAATGTTGAAAATATATATTAAAATGAAGAAGAAGCTCAAGAACCTGAAGAGCTGAACAATCATCAAATATGTTCACTCTCTTACTCCCACTTAAAAGAATTTTGATTATTGTTTATAAAACTATACATATCTGATACCTTGTGTTTTGCCTATTCTATACATGAGAGTGCAAAATTGACATCACACTCCAGTGTTATTGATGTTTTCCAATGAAATAACAGCGCCCGATCCGGCCGACACTGCAGTCTGGGATCTGAAAATATACAACACCCAGAAATGGAGGCATACAAGGTAGGCAAAAGACCATATTCTTGCCATTGGATTTCTTCTTATGAATGTAGCACCAGTTAAGAAGATGGAGTCTAATTGCCTAACCAATGACCCGATATGCTTCTGCCCCTTTCGGAGCCTCTCTTGAAATAGGGGCTCCCAAGTCCCTGATTCTAAATCATTCGTTGGGCGATCACCAAGTTTCAAACATGATTTGCTCTCCTCCAATGACCTTGAAACCGCCTTTACAAAATAAATAAATCAAACCTTGTTATGGTACACTAAAATTTAACCTAAAGTTGGAGAACACAAATCACTTCCCCAGACACGTCATTACTTTATTTAATATACATCACGTACCTCGATCCTGAACATTAGCATGGCCTTCTCTGATGATAGAGCCTCCACCTTATTGATAACAAATGTTAGTAATACATTTACTAAGGTGCAACTTCATAAGTTAACAACAGAGAAAAAATGGTTTAGATGGTACAACATATTGTCAAATATTGAAGTATGTCCAAAATATAGTAAATATAGTCGAATACAGATGGGGTAAAATTGTTAAGAAAACTATTTACTTCCAATGTATGCTGCAATAGAACCAAAGTAGTTTGCAGTCATGACTGTAATTTGGTATAGCAGAAAAAAAAAAGATTCATGTAAAAAATAAAAATATTTATCTATGCAATACTAAGTATGCAACACATCCGAGGGCCATCAACTGCTATAGCAATGCTATTAACTGCCCAGAACAGAACATAACTACCATATCATTAAAATCTGCAAGAATGGGCTTCTTAGACCTCTACAAATCCTTTGCTACTTTTATTTTGCGTCTTGAGTGTTATATTGTGATATGTTTGGAATTTAAATGCTTGATGATCTGTCTCAAAACATTTGTGCCCATTCCATACAAGATTCTCTGCAACTTTTTACATTTCAGTGTCCATGCTTGTAGCTGGATATTTAAGTGTTAAAGGGATTTCCCCATTGCTGCCTTAAACACTAATATGGGTTCATTTGGTTTGACATAATGTTTTTTAGGGATTTGGATTTCGTGGAAGGACTTGGAAAATTTGGTGTGTTTGGTTTGTAGGTTTTGAAATGGAATTTAATTTTTTTTAAATATTTATTTGTACTATGAATAATTTGTTTGTTTCAGTAAAATGTGGAGGCGATGGAGAGATTATGGCAAAATTTGATGAAAGAGAGGAGGGGTGTAGAGATGTCATTGGATTTGGATTTGAAATGAAAGTCATCTCCAAAGGGATTTCTAAATCCGAAGGTTGCAGGATTTCAAATCCAAACTTCCCTGCTACCAAACACACAATTGGAATGGAATTCAATTCCAAATCCTACTAAAACCCACAAATCAAGCGGGCCCAAATAGTTCTGCAAATTTCAAGAATCCTTGGTGGCAAAGTTCTGGAAGCAGCGGTAGAGCTAAAATCATGTCGATCTCTTGGTGGTTTTCAATTTTGTTGAAATCCCACATTAGCTAGTCACAATCAAACCCACTTGTATGTATATATAGGGGTCTCCCCTAGGGCTAGTCACGGACCAAACACACATGTATATATGTAGGGGTCTCCCCTCTCTCTAAGGGCTCTTTTAAAACGAGAAGCAAGGGTTTCACATATCCTAACAAATTTAATGTGTTACTCAGAACAGAAAAAGACAAGAACTCCCTGGTATTCACTTTATTTAGTAAAATGCTTCTGCTCTACTTGCTATTGCATATCTTCTATGATTAAACCAAGATATTGCATTTGAATTTAGCTCCATAAATAAGACAGCTCAAAATTTTATACAAAAGAGATTTCCACTGGAGTGAAACCAAAACTAAAAAGAATCCCTAAATACTGACCTGAGCTTGTTTCTGAATCAAATGGTCAGTCAACTGACCAAGCCTTCGCTTGAGTTCAATCTCCACTTCAGTTGGATTTTCAATCTCCTTTCGGGTCACATTGATTGTTGTTTCAAGTGTCTTCACCTGTAAGGTAAGATTCACAAAACTTCATACCATATAAAAGATGTATCAGCCAGTCACTCCATAAAAACATATGAACAGAAGAAACTAAATCATAAATTATTATGTCCAATGCCACCAGACACTATTATACAAGCATATATTACTCCTTATTCAGTAAAGCTTTAGCAAAAAGAGCTCTAGTTTCTTACCTATGTTCTACGGTTTTTCTAACATGCTCCTTAATTCTTTATACCATGCAACAAATCCACAGATGCTAAGTGGTAATACGATTTCAGAAACTTTTCTGTGTGTATACCTACTATCTTGTGTGCAAATCCTTAGGGATCTTGTGACTCAAGTGTTAAGTGTGTGAATCTTGATATCAACGCTTCAATTCCTCTAGTATTTTCCAAATCTTCAAGTGTAATTCTGCACCTTCCCATAACAGAATATAATTCTTCACCCATAAATCTTATGGTTCATAAGAAGAACAACACTTCACCTTCTCTTTGAGCTGTCCAACTTTATCTGTCACAAAAGTGTGCTCCGCCTCCAGTATCTCATGTTCCAATTCAATTCCCCTTGAAGCCGTTAACTACTTATGTTCATACCACCAAAAAGAAGAAAAACAAGTTACTTCACAAGGCTATAAAATTGATGCAGGTGACACAGGGTTATTAACTACTGAAACTTCCAATAGCTAATTATGCAATTCGATAGTTACTAACGGACTTACTTTATTTCCACTTGGATGACTTTTTTCCTTTGATGTCAGCCCTATATGAAAATAGATGAGATAAGAAATCAACATGAGTCTATGATTCTGATAATCAAACTGAATAGAGCTTGCTGGTTGTAGATTTAAACAAAAATAGTAATTGCTTTGAATCCATAAAATCGTAGACATCTGCTGAGAAATGCATTAACGAATAACAGTAAATGGTTGCCAACTTTCAGTTTTTCATGTTTAATGAGGATCATATCATAGGTGAACAGATAATAATGAGTAAAGATCTAGATGTTTTTTGAAATCAAAAGTTTCAAAAGATCATTATTTCTCATATACATATACAACCAAAACCCTCACATTAACATTCCATCATAAACACCAATTTCATGATACGTTACCATTAAAATTTTAAATACTTCTAACAGTTGGCAATACATAAACTTAATCAGCTGTCCTGTTTAAGACTTCACAGTAATATTAGTGTGTGTGTGTGCGTGTAACTTCAATGCAACTGAATTTAATGCATCAATTTAAGAACTTTGCAGAATCCTGCAATTGAAATAACAGATCCAATTGGTAAATCATGTCTCTCTTTCAGAGCCCTTTTATGTTTTAATCATCTTCAACAACTTCTTGGTTCCTGCTTTTCTTTCTTTTTCTTGCCAAATCTTACAAACAAGAAAGATTGTTTTGGTACAGACCATAGTGTCTGCATGTTTCAAAAGCCATAGACGGTCATGGTAATGTGACATGGACCTGCAAATCTCACTAGCCAATCCAGGAACGATAGATCCTCAGTGTTACTGGAATTAACAGAATGGACACCCTGCACCGATGTTTGTTCAACCAACAATTCCATGTCAAATGTCAACATCAGAGGAATATGAGGGGTAGCCGCATGTATACCCACTGCACCGAGGTTTGTTCAACCAACAATTCCATATCAAATGTCAACATCGGAGAAATATGAGGGGTAGCCGCACATATACCCACTGCCTTTTTGAGAAGAGACGCAAGGAACACAAGATGAGTTTTCCCGTGGGGGGCAACTCTAGCCTGTATGCTACCTGTGCAATACGGGCCATCACAGCAAAAGGTCCTTAAATATGTGGTGCTAATTTTTCATTGAGCCGTTTACTCGTTTAGCTAACATAACTGGCGTTATGATCGGAGCTTGACATAAACAAACTCACCCACCTGAAATTCTAGTTCTTAATGCTTCTTATCTGCGAATCGTTTCATTTTCGCTTGCACTTTGGCCAAATTGGCCTTCAACTCCATTAAAATGGCATCTCTATTCCAGCAGCATATTCACCTCCTGATTGGCTGTTGAACCATACTCAAATGGAATCAGTGGCGGAGGTTCTCTCCCATAAACGACATTCAAAGGTGTCATCCCTACAAAGCTGTGTTAAAAGTTGTGTTGTAGTTATACTCAAGCAAAGGCAACCAAGAGACCTGTTGAGAAGGTTTATCCATGGTAAAATGTGTGGAAACTCTGGATGAACACCAGAATGTAAAACATTCCAGAAGCTTGATAAGGACGAGATGATTTCAGAAGATAAACCTTAGGATTAGTTTTATTTATTGTTAAGAATAGTTTGTTGCAGATCAGAATTTGTTTGGTTTCCCATAGTTAGTTTGCTTATCTCTGGCTATAAATAATAGGCTTCCTTGTAATCTAAAATGTAGATTAATAAAAACACTTTCTGTCCGGTACATAAGCTCTATATTGTATCAGAGCGTTTCTGATCCATTTTATTTCCTCAAAGCCATCCAAAAAGACTGATGACTAAGATATACCAATTCAGCCTTGGTTAGTGAAATGGTGAGTGGCACCTCTGACACAACCAAGACGCAATCTGCAACGTCTACCACAACACCCATCCTTTCAGAAGGCGGGATGGCTCCAACCATGGGACACAAACTCACAGGGCACAACTTCAACCACCTGTCACATTCCATGATGACTTTCTTAAGTGGAAAAGGGAAAGAAGATTACATAACGGGAGCAGCAGCCCCACCGGCAGAGGATAGTCCAAACTATCGCACATGAAGACAGAAAACAACATGGTAATGTCATGGCTTTTGAATTCAATGACTAATGAAACAGGTGGGAAATTCAGGTATTACAAGACAACCAAGGAGATATGGGAAGCAGCTCGAGATACATACTCCTACAAAGATAATGCCTCTGTGATTTTTGAAATAAAGGGAGTATTGCACGATTTACGTCAAGGGGAACAAACGATAACTGATTACTTTAACTTTTTGACTCTTGACTCGCTTCTGGCAACAGTTAGATGTCTTGGATGATGTATCATGGAATTGTCCCTTTGATAGAAAGCAATACAAAAAGATCCAAGAAAAGGAGCGAAGTCTACAAATTCTTACTTGGCTTGAATCAAGCCTTGATGAAGTTCAAGGAAGGATACTAAGTTGTAAGCCTTTGCCAAGCATGCGAGAAGCCGTCTCAGAAGTCCATCGAGAAGAAAGCCAAAGGAAAGTCATGTTGGGATCATCGGACATTGAATCAAACACTGAAGGATCTGCTTTAGCAGCTAGAAGACAGCTACTACCCTTAATAAGGTGGCTCAAAGTGATCACTCACCTACTGTACTTAACGAGATTAAATACAGGTGAGTGGATTGTCGACTGTGGAGCTGGAGCTACAGACGGAATATTAATGTCTTCAACAAACTCCAACCTAACCATACCGGAGCCACGATTCATACTGCTGATGGGATACTATCAGATGTGAAGGGTATAGGTTTGGTTATTATCTCAAAAGAGATTTGACTCTCAACTCTATTCTCTATGTTCCTAATCTTACCAATAATTTAATGTATATCATAAACTTATGGAAGGCCTTAAATGTATTGCTAAGTTGTCCCCTACTTTATATGAATTTTAAGACTTGGACTCATGGAGGACGCTTGGCAGTGCTGAAGTGCGTGGAAATCCCGTTTTCTTGAAGACAAGATGTATGCCACCAAGAAACTCAATTAGTGCAATCTCACAATCCAACCCAAATAAGGACAGCCTTCATCTTTGGCATCTTAGATTAGGACATCCAAGTTTCATGTATATGCAACAATTATTTCCATGTTTGATTAATAAGAACTTAGTTCCGTTTCAGTGTGAAGTTTGTCAGATTTCAAAGCACACTCACAATTCATACCCATCTATTCCATATTAAGCTTCCCATCCGTTTAACTTGATCAATAGTGATGTATGGGACCATCTAGAATAAAAAATATATTCGGGTCTAATGGTTTCTCCTTTATTGATGACCATACTTGAGTCACTTGGATCTTTCTTATGAAAGAAAATCCAAAGTGCGACATCTTTCACCCTTCCACAAAAATGATTGAGAACCAACTTCGCACAAAAATCCAAATCTTGAAAACAGACAACGGAACCGAATTTTCCGAGTCAAACCTAGGATCCTATCTTAATGAAAATGGAATTATCCATCTCAGTTGTGGGTACTCCACAGCAAAACGGAGCCGCCGAGAAAAAAATAGACGCATTCACTCTCACTTCTTTAGACCACCTACATTCCATCTGTTTTTTGGGGAGACACCATATCATCGGCAGCCTACCTGATCAATCGGATGCCATCTAGGGTCCTACATTTCCGAACACCTCACCAAACAGTTATGACCACAGATCCTCACATTAGGTTCTTGTAAAATGTCCCTCTCAAAGTCTTTGGATGTACCGCCTTTATTCACATTCCACCACAGAGCCGTAGCAAACTTGACCCTGAGTCTCTCAAATGTTACTCTCCAAAGTGGATACAAATGTTACCCTCCAACTACAAAAAAAACCTACAATTCCATGGATGTACATTTTTGAAGATCAATCTTTCTATTCCAAATCCGATATTGAGGGGGGAAAATCTTCAAATGAATATCATATTTGGTCCAACACCATGCCTCGTCCAACACCAACCAACAACACACCCGAACCCAACACCAATATCACATATACCGAACACAATCATTACGCTCCTAAAACCATTACCCAAAAACCAGCTACCAACCAAGAAGCACCAAAAGAGATAGTGGTGTACTACAGACGACTGAAAAGAAGTGGAGACAAACACGCCACATTGCCATGAGGCCAATCCGAGTCATCATAACCTTGAGACACATAGAGGTATGAACTCTAATCCATGTGAAGGTAGCATTTTGGAATCCGACATTGCTATTGTTGGTCCAACAATAGCAATTGAATCTAATGATATTTCGACGAATGAATCGGGCGATTTCCATGTTCCTATAGCCTTAAGGAAAGAGAAACGGTCATGCACTGCCAATAGGCAATTTTATGACACACAAAGGCTTATCTTCTAATTACAGAGCTTTTGCAGTTTCTCTAGATTCAATACAAATTCCGAAAAACGTACAAGAGGTTGTCCAACATCCTGATTGGAAGGCTGTAGTTGAAGAGGAAATGAACGCCCTTAAAAAAAGCAACACATGGCAATACACGAACTTGCCTGTTGGAAAACAAACGGTTGGTTGTAAATGGGTCTTCTCGATGAAATATAATGTTGATGGAACTATTAATCGATTCAAGGCAAGGCTTGTCACCAAAGGGTTCACACAATCATGTGGAGTTGATCATGGAGAAACGTTCGCACCAGCCGCGAAGCTCAACTCTATAAGAGTGTTACTTTCACTTGCCGCAAACCTGGATTGGCCCTTGCACCAATTTGATATAAAGAATGCCTTCCTCAATAGGAAGTTAGAAGAAGTGTACATGGATGTGCACCGGGACTAGACATAAAAGAATCCTTTCGAAAAGTATGTGAGTTAAAGAAGTCACTTTATGGGCTCAAACAATCACCAAGAGCATGGTTTGAAAGACTAACTCGGGTGATGAAGCAACATGAATTTGTCCAATGCCAAACTGATCATACCATGTTTATTAAGACTTCTTCTACAGGGAAGAAAGCCATCATGATCGTACATGTAGACAACAAAATTCTAACCAGTGATCACGTGGATGAGCTCAAACGCCTAAAGGGTGTGCTTGC